GGAGGGGTGCCGCTGACATCTAATGGGTAGAGGCCGTGGATGCTGCTTCCTAACATCCTGCAATACACAAGACAGCCCCCACTGGCTCCCCCCCAGCCAAAATTAGCCAGCCTAAAATGTCAGTAGTGCTGAGGCTTAGAAACCTTGGATTAACAGGCTTCACTGCTGATGGGAAACATTCTCTTTTTTTTTTTTTTTTTTTTGACAGGGCCTTACTTTGTTGCCCAGGCTAGAGTGCAGTGGCAGCATCCTAGCTCACTGCAGTCTTGAACTCCTGGGTTCAAGCAGTCCTCCTGCCTCCGCCTCCCGAGAAGCTGGAACTCCGCACGTACACCGCCATCTCTGGTTAATTAACATTTTTTTTTTGGCCGAGCTGCTGTCTCACTGTGTTGCCCAGGCTGGTCTCAAACTCCTACCCTCAAGTGATCCTTCCGCCTGGGCCTCCCAAAACAGCAGGATTACAGATGGGAGCTGCTGTGCCCGGAAGGAAACAGTCGGAACGTCTCTGTGATCGAAGGGGAAAGTTTTAGCACCAGAAGACAAGTAGAGCTGGTTTTGCCTTATGTGATAGACCCAGCGAACAAATCAGCTGTCTGCTTTCCCAGTGCCAGTTAGACAGACACAATATATATTATAGCTTATGCAATGAACTTAATACATTTTTTTTTTTTTATTTTGAACGGGAGTCTCGCTGTGTCGTCCAGGCTGGAGTGCAGAGGCGCGATCTCGGCTCGCTGCAAACTCCGCCTCCCAGATTCACGCCATTCTCCTGCCTCAGCCTCCCGAGTAGCTGGGACTACAGGCGCCTGCGACAACACCCGGCTAATTTTTTTGTATTTTTAGTAGAGACGGGGTTTCACCGTGTGAGCCAGGATGGTCTCAATCTCCCGACCTCGTGATCCGCCCACCTCGGCCTCCCAAAGTGCTGGGATTACAGGCGGGAGCCACCGCACCCGGCCAGTGTGCTTATAAAATTATTTAGTTTTGTGTCTTGGGTATTCCTGAAAATGCCTCATCAGTGACAGATCTAGTTGTTGAGATTTGGTTTTGCTGTGTATATTAGTTACAGACCTAATTTAGCTACATTGGAAAGAAAATTCATCAGTAACTGATTGAACAAATAGGAGTTTAGGTTTCTCATGTGATATGAATTCTGGAGAGAGAATTCAGGGCTCTTACTGTGGCTTCTTGATGTCACCCATGACCCAATGCTGATATTTCTGCTTAGCTTTCTTTTTTTTTTTTGAGACGGAGTCTCATTCTGTCACCCAGGCTGGAGTGCAGTGGCGCGATCTCGGCTCGCTGCAAGCTCCGCCTCCCGGGTTCACGCCATTCTCCTGCCTCAGCCTCCCGAGTAGCTGGGACTACAGGCGCCCGCCACCTCGCCCGGCTAGTTTTTTTTTTTTTTTGTATTTCTTAATAGAGACGGGGTTTCACCGTGTTAGCCAGGATGGTCTCGATCTCCTGACCTCGTGATCCGCCCGTCTCGGCCTCCCATCTGCTTAGCTTTCTTAGGAATGTACATTTTACCTTGTCACAGGATGGCTCCTGCCTGTTCCCACCCCTCACCCCGACAGCAAAACCTGTGTTCCAGGCAGGCAGCAGTGAGGACAAAGGTACCTGGAGCCAGTCCTCTTTGTCAGCGTTTTCCTGCAGCCCAGCCCAGTGGTTTCTGCTTGTTCCCATTGGCCAGACTGTCACAGGACCTTAGAGGCTGGGACAGATAGTTTTCAGCTGGGCTCATTGTGGTCCGAAAGCAAAAGCAGATACCTTTAGTTAGAAAGAAAGGATATTGGGGCTGTGCGCGGTGGCTCACACCTGTAATTTCAGCACTTTGGGAGGTTGAGGCAGCCAAATCATTTAAGGTCAAGAGTTCGAGACCAGCATGGCCAACGTAGTGAAACTCCGTCCTTACTAGAAATACAAAAATTAGCCAGGCACGGTGGCGCATGCCTGTAATCCCAGCTACTCAAGAGGCTGAGGCAGGAGAACCTCTTGAACCGGGAAGCGGAGGTTGCAGTGAGCCAAGATTGCACCACTGCACTCCAGCCTGGGCAACCGAGTGAGACTTTGCCTCAAAAAAAAGAAAGAAAGAAAGAGAAAGAGCATATTGGAATAAACAGGTATTATGCATCTCTGGGAGCTGCTTTTTGAAATACTGGTTCTTCTAAGTTCACTGAAATTTTTTTATAAAGTAAGAACAAATGATTAATGTTGGAGATTTGAAAGAATGGACTCAATGCAAGAGATCTTACTAGCTGAGAAAATAAAATGTATTTATGTTATGAATATATTTCTTAACCCCAAGAACTTGGCTGTAGTGTTGTGTTTTGTAAATTTTAAATCTCCCTACCACTACACTGGGCGCCCTACCGTCTTTTGTATAGTGCACACAAAGAAGTGTGTTTCTCTGAGTTAAAAATAGAAATCTGCACCTGACAGATGGCCTGAAGTGTGGAAAATGGGTGTGTCACAGAAGTGGAAGAAGTGGAGGGAGTCCTGTGCTGCTTGTTGTTTTAAACCTCCTTTCCCCGCAAATCAGTATCTTTCCTATACACTAGTAATGGCCAATAGGTTTCTATTTTGTTTTAATCCCATTTACGGTAGCGACAAAGCCTATCAGGTTTCTGAGAATAAACCTTTATCATACATTTATGCTAACCTTTAGCATACCTTTATGAAGAAAACTACAAAATTAATTAAAATATCATGAACTGCAATGCAAATGGGGAGAATAAATAGGGGACAACTTGCCTTCCAGATACATTGATTACAAAGCTGTAGTAACTAAAATTTGATACTGTCTCAAGGGCAAGCAGATGGTTCTGTGAAGTAGAATGAGGATCCAGAAACAGACCCCTGCTGTGCTGAAACTTGGTTTATGATAGAACAGGTGTTACTGATAAATGCAGAAACCAGTAAATGGTATTAAGTCAATTAACTTTCCATTTGAAAGGGATACAATTAAATTTCTTTTCCACATTGCAGGCTAATAACAGTGTCTTGTATCTTGCAAAAGTACTGTTACCAGTCCATTCACGTCCAGAAAAATGTATATATTAGAAATTTGTGCATCATGTTCCCTAAATAAAAACTTCAGATACTTGGCTGGCAGTGATGACTCAAACCTGTAATCCCAGCACTTTGGGAGGCTGAGGCAGGCAGCTCACTTGAGCTCAGGTGTTCTAGACCAGCCTGGGCAAAAAGTGAGACCCTGTTTCTATAAAAACAAATAAACAAAATGGCACCTAACTTTTAAAATGCTTCTTCTTACATGTGATAGTGTGAGCAAAGCACAATTTAGTTTTTGCCATTAAAGCATGCTTTTTTTTGGTTTCTGTTACACTTCTGTATTTACTTTAATTCTTGGAATACTGTTTCCTGGAAGATCAAACCTGACCATTCTGGATACATCAGTAGTGAGAGCTTAGTGCAGATACAGCCTTACAGAATGTCTTCCACGTTGAAGTGCAGAGAACCCGAAGGCACCTAGGATGAGCCTCAGGCCTGCTGGTTGTTGCAGTGGTGCAATCTCAGCTCACTGTGATCTCCGCCTCCCGGGTTTAGTGATTCTCATGCCTCAGCCTCCTGCGTAGCTGGGATTACAGGTGCTCGCCACCATGCCTGGCTAATTTTTGTTTTGTTTTGTTTTTGCCGTCTCACTCTGTCACCCAGGCTAGAGTACAGTGATGCGACCTCGGCTCACTGCAACCTCTGCCACCCAGGTTCAAGCAATTCGCCTGCCTCAGCCTCCTAAGTAGCTGGGATTACGGGTGCCTGCCACCGTGCCTGGCTAATTTTTGTACTTTCAGTAGAGATGAGGTTTCACCATCTTGGCCAGGCTGGTCTTGGACTCCTGACCTTGTGAACCACCCACCTTGGCCTCCCAAAGTGCTGGGATTACAGGTGTGAGCCACTGTGTCCAGCCTAATTTTTGTATTTTTGTATTTTATGTTATGTTATGTTAT